TATTTTCATAATTTCTCTGTATCTCTCCATTATTTTCACTCTGTATCTCTCCATTATTTTCATTAATTCTAGGTTGATCATTTGGCCAAGTTGGGACATGCCATCCCTTCTTCTTTATTCATTTGGGAAGCTAGTCCTAATTCCTTATCCTTAATTTTTTAGGTTGATGTTTGTAGCATTGGCTTTTTGAGATAGGTTTTTGCTTCTTGTTCTGCTCTTCTTTTGCCACACACAAAAAAATAATAATAATTACATTATTAATTTTGGAAATAATTCCTTACTAGTTAAATCAACGTATATATTATCAATAATACCCTTTAAATAATTTATAATTTTATGCCATTTCTTTTTAAAGGATAAATTTGATAAACTAATAGAAAATATAAAAGATTCTTCTTAAATCTTGTGGGAAAGTGAAATGGGTGTATAATTATGGCCCTAGCAGTATGAGATTTGTATTCTAGGGAAAATTTTAGGTAGTTTTGTTTATGGATTAAATTAACGAGAATAAGAATTTTTATTAAAATTAGGATATGTTTGGCCATAAATTGACAAAAAAAAAAGGTAGGAATACTTTGTAAAGAATGTTTACTGTAGTTGATTTGGTGAATAAACGTGACTATAACCCGGTTTTACATCCATCACCGGAGGAAACGGAACATGCCAAACGACAACATTTTCAACTATCATGCACTTCCTCCTAGCTCTACTTCCAGGTTACAATTCGATTTTCTCTTTCGTGGAAAGAGCAGTCCACAATCACTCAAACAGACTCCATAACTGAAGAGAAACTCGCACAGAAGAGAGAGAACAAATTAAGAAGAGAGAGAAACAAATATGGTAGGGGCATTATCTGGGAACAAGAGTTAATGGAGATAGTGCAAGAAGCACGACATAGTGTGGAAAAGAATAAAACTCACTACTACTCGTAAAGCCAACGCCAAGAAGCGACTCCTTAGGGTTTGGCAGGTATCTATCTATCTTTCAAACAATTATTTATTAGAAATTGCATTTTTTACTTATCTATTGCCAGGGTTCGATATGAATTGGAATTTTGTTTTTAGTATAACTTTGAGCTTTATGCAATTGTAAGATAACTATTGTTAGGCATTCAATTACTAATGTGTTTGGTATCTTTAACAATTGTGGTCAAGGGCAAAATTTTAGGGGAAAATTTTTCTGGGTGTTGGGTTTTATGTTCAGATTGGTACTTTGTCATTAAACTTCAGGATTGAAGTATTCTACCCCAACCGGGTTTGGTTCGGCCTGACTCAACTCGACTCTATGAACTGACTCGACTCGGTAGGATGTCACATGCCCTCTTGTTGACAATCACTGATGGTCACAGTCACAGTGAGTTTGTTGTGATAGGCATTTGTATGGGTAGCTAGCGTTTCTCATCCTTTGGTCTAGAAAGCTTTTTTTTGAGGTGAATATCCCATTGCCACGTTGTCTGAGAAAACTTCTAGATTCTATATATATTTTCCAAGGATTCTTTGTACTTTTACATTTTCTTTCATAACGTAGCCTTTCCTTCCTTTTGTACTTCAGTTTCTCTTTGTAGTTTTACTAAAAACTATGCATTAAAGTTGTCATTAAAGTTGTTTAAGGTAAAGGAAAAATGGTTGAGACGTCATTTTGTATTCATGCTTTGCATTGTGAGGGTCTATGGATGCTCAGTTGCATGGATTGCCTTGGCAATTCCAGGTTTTGCCAAGATTAAGTTTTGTCCTTGAGTGATATACAAACTCGTGATGATAATGGGTGAACTTTTGCCTTGCTCCATTACTGTATTTTGGCTTTTGGATGGAGAGAAATAGATGGGCCAACAGGGGTAACTTCTCAGTGTAGTTACTACTGTTGTATTTGCTGTAGGGGACGGTATTTATATTTTTCATGTTCATTGTTGGATTCAAGGTATATATATTTTTCATGTTCATTGTTATATTAAATTTTGTGGATTAACTATATTGTGGCTTTTTGTACATGTGATGCGTCCTTTGCGTGCTCTTTCAAAAATTTCCTTTATATAACGGTAAAACAGAGATTTTCTTTGTATAAAAAGTAAAATAGAGTAAAATGGAGAATTATGGAGGACATGGAATTCCAAGAAGGACTATGCTTTCAAGCCTTTGGCTTTGTGTTATATTTTCTCACTCATGCCCATTAGTTTGATACATCTATCTTGATAATGTTTATCAATAAAAATTTGAAAGTGTAATTGTGGGTGTTAAAGGAGCCAGATCTTTCAAGTTCAAAGCTGGGTGTAGGTTATTGTAAATATACTAAATTTTTAAAGTAAGGTGGAAAAATGATTTTCGTGATTGTATAACAAAAGTTGAAAAAAAATTGCAGTTCTTCTTCTGTGTTTTGTTTGTTTTTTAGAAGCCAACTTGGGTATGGATTCCTGGATTTTAGCTGTGGTTTCATTTTATTATCGTCTTTACTTCAATTTTTTTTCTCTCAAGGTTAATATTTTTGTTAAAGATGTTTTTAGTGTAGTCAGAGCTCATTTCAAACAATTGAAACCTTGACTTCTCAAAGCTATTTTTCTTTCAGAACTATTACTTCCACTTTTTCAGACAAAAAAACCACTGCAATATGACTGCATTTTTTTATATTAATTTCCTTTGGTTAAATAACTTTGGTTAAATATTGATGGATGTCTTCTGGTCTTTCTAATATAATTTTTTAAGCATCATTCATATCTTGTGCTTCTCTCATTCTCTTGTAGAATGAAGATGTCTTGAGGGCGTGTGCTGAACCAACACCTTCAAAAACTGAGGCTGATGTGGCTAGAGTTGCTGAGAAAGATGGCATCGACACCCAAACTTAAACTACAAAATGAATGAGAATCATAATCAAGGATGTCTTTTGATTGCAAATTTGAAGCCAGTTTTTATGTCTGTCTGGTATTATTTGGTATTATTTATGTTTTAGGCTCTGATTTTAGTTCATATATCACACCAGTGTAAAATTGTTTCTAGATTTGTAAGATTATTTTTATCAAAGTTGGATTTTTAGTTTTTCGCACTCGAATACAAAGTTATGTTACACTTTTGCATGTTGTTGTCATGTGAGGTCTGGACCATGACATTATTCTTATGTTGCTTGCTTTCTTGCTTAATATTCCTTTTAGATCACTTCTAACTTTTCTTTACATTTAATATTCCTTTTAGATCACTTCTAACTTTTCTTTACATGCAAAAGGAGTTGTTTGGGAGACTTGTGCCAACCTTGAGGTCTCAAATGTAGTTAAAATAAGGCATGCTTTCCCTTTTGTTGTTTACATGTTGGATTTAGTGTACCAGATGACAATAAAGTTTATTTGCAGAATGTAACTTACGAAAATATTTTGAAAACATTTTGCGACTTGCAAATGGAAACTTTTTAGGGATGATATTGATGACATTTTCAGAATCCTTGTGAGGTTCTATCAGCTCTTATTCTTTGACCCAAGACTGAACTTGTACTTGTGTGGCCACGGCCCGTGGGTTTTCATAGTCTAACTGGTGGTTCAGATGTGTTAAGTGCTAGTAATCAACATGTTATGGGAACTTAACGGCAAAAGGCTAATTAATAACTCTTAAGACTTCCTGATACTTAGGTTTTGTTTGACAATAATTTTTTAAATAACTCTTGTCAAAATATTAAATACTATTTTTTCATAGTATTTGGTAACATAATGTTTAAATTAATTTTCAGAGATTAAGGTAACATTTTATGAAAAATTATTCAAACAGAATTTTTATTGTTTTATAAAAAGCTAGTGCATAGAGAATAATCCGCACTCACAACCTTATTACAACTAGGTGCAACTAAAAGGCTTATTAGTTTAGAAAATATTTACCTACATCCCGCGTATAAGTCTGCTCCATACATTGAAACAATTAAAACAATAACTTTTTTTATTCAAACAAAAGAATAAAAAAGTAACAATTTCTTGCAAACTCATTTTTTGATTGACTTGGTTATGATTCATCTTCAATATTAAGCATTTATTCGGCAAAATTAGCTATTTTTATTAGCTATTAGCTATTTTAATACCGTTTAGCTATTACCTGTTTGTAGCTTTTTATAAAACGATAAAAATTCTGTTTGAATAACTTTTCATAAAATACTATCTTAATCAATGAAAACCAATTTAAACATTATATTACCAAACACTATGAAAAAATAATATTTAATATTTTGACAGGAGTTATTTAAAAAATTATTGTCAAACAAAAAAAATTATTGTCAACAAAATCGCAAAATTAGCTATTTTTACTTAGGCTTAGCTATTAGCTATTTTAATACCGTTTAGCTATTACCTGTTTGTAGCTTTTTATAAAACGATAAAAATTCTGTTTGAATAACTTTTCATAAAATACTATCTTAATCAATGAAAACCAATTTAAACATTATATTACCAAACACTATGAAAAAATAATATTTAATATTTTGACAGGAGTTATTTAAAAAATTATTGTCAAACAAAACCTAATTGACGGGAAGTCTTAAGAGTTATTAATTAGTCTTTCGCCGTTTAGTTCCCATAAGATGTTTATTAATAGCACTTAACACATCCGAACCACCAGTAAGACTATGAAAACCCACGGGCGTGGCCACACAAGTACAAGTTCAGTCTTGGGTCAAAGAATAAGAGCTGATAGAACGTCACAAGGATTCTGGAAAATGTCATCAATATGGATTCTGGAAAATGTCATCAATATCATCCCTAAAAAGTTTCCATTTGCAAGTCGCAAAATGTTTTCAAAATATTTTCGTCAAGTTACATTCTGCAAATAAACTTTATTGTCATCTGGTACACTAAATCCAACATCTAAACAACAAAAGGGAGAGCATGCCTTATTTTAACTACATTTGAGACCTCAAGGTTTGCACAAGTCTCCCAAACAACTCTTTTTGCATGTAAAGAGAAGTTAGAAGTGATCTAAAAGGAATATTAAGCAAGAAAGCAAGCAACATAAGAATAATGCCATGGTCCAGACCTCACATGACAACAACACGCAAAAAGGTAACATAACTTTGTATTCAAGTGCAAAAAACTAAAAATCCAACTTTGATAAAAATAATCTTACAAATCTAGAAACAATTTTACACTGGTGTGATATATGAACTAAAATCAGAGACTAAAACATAAATAATACCAGACAGACACAAAAACTGGCTTCAAATTTGCAATCAAAAGACATCCTAGATTATGATTCTCACTCATTTTGCAGGTTAAGTTTGGGTGTCGACGCCATCTTTCTCAACAACTCCAGCCACATCAGCCTTAGTTATTGAAGGTGGTGGTTCAGCACACGCCCTCAAGACAGCTTCATTCTACAAGAGAATGAGAGAAGCACAAGATATGAATGATGCTTAAAAAAATATATTAGAAAGACCAGAAGACATCCATCAATATTTAACCAAAGGGATAATATAAAAAAAATTCAGTAATATTGCAGTGCTTTTTTTGTCTGAAAAAAGTGAAAGTAATAGTTCTGAAATAAAACAGCTTTGAGAAAGTCAAGGTTCAATTGTTGAAATGGAGGCTCTGACTACACTAAAAACATCTTAACAAAACTATTAACCTTGAGAGAAACAAAATTGAAGTAAGACAATAATAAATAAAACACAGCTAAAAAATCCAATAAATAAAAACACAGTAAAAAATCAGAATCCATACCAAGTTGGATCTAAAAAACACAGAAGAAAAGAAGAACTGCAATTTTTTTCAACTTTTGTTATACAATCACGAAAATCATTTTTCCAACTTACTTTAAAAATTTAGTATATTTACAATAACCTCCACCCAGCTTTGAACTTGAAAGATCTGGCTCCTTTAACACCCACAATTACACTTTGAAATTTTCATTGATAAACATTATCAAGATAGATGTATCAAACTAATGGGCATAAATGAGAAAATATAACACAAAGCAAAGGCTTGAAAGCATTATTTTACTTTTTATACAAAGAAAATCTCTGTTTTACCGTTATATAAAGGAAATTTTTGAAAGAGCACACAAAGGACGCATCACATGTACAAAAAGCCACAATATAGTTAATCCACAAAATTGAATACAACAATGAACATGAAAAATATATATACCTTGAATGCAACAATGAACATGAAAAATATATATACCGTCCCCTACAGCAAATACAACAGTAATAACTACACTGAGAAGTTCCACCTGCTGGCCCATCTATTTCTCTCCTTCCAAAAGCCAAAATACAATAATGGAGCAAGCAAAGCAAAAGTTCACCCATTATCATCATGAGTTTGTATATCACTCAAGGACAAAACTTAATCTTGGCAAAACCTGGAATTGCCAAGGCAATCCACGCAACTGAGCATGCGAAGCATGAATACAAAATGACCTCTCAACTATTTTTCCTTTACCTTAAACAACTTTAATGCATAGTTTTTAGTAAAACTACAAAGAAAAACTGAAGTACAAAAGGAAGGAAAGGCTACATTATGAAGGAAAATGTAAAAGTATGAAGAATCCATGGAAAATATATATAGAATCCAGAAGTTTTCTCAGACAACGTGGCAACGGGATATTCACCTAAAAAAAAAAAGCTTTCTAGACCAAAGCATGAGAAACGCTAACTACCCATACAAAATGCCTATCCTATCACAACACACTCACTGTGACTGTGACCGTCAGTGCGTCAGTGATTGTCCAACAAAAGAGGGCATAATACAAGTACACAGAGAAAAAAAAAAAACCATTATTCCCACTTCAATCCTGAAGTTTAATGACAAAGTACCAATCTGAGCATAAAACCCAACACCCAGAAAAATTTTCCCCTAAAAATTTACCCTTGACCACAATTGTTAAAGACACCAAACACATTAGTAATTGAATGCCTAACAATAGCTATCTTACAATTGCATAAAGCTTAAAGTTATACCAAAAACGAACCTGGCAATAGATAAGTAAAAAATGCAATTTCTAATAAATAATTGGTTGAAAGATAGAAAGATACCTGCCAGACCCTAAGGAGTCGCTTCTTGGCGTTGGCTTTCCGGGTAGTAGTGAGTTTTATTCTTTTCCACACTAGACCTCCCGAGTCGTGCTTCTTCACTATCTCTTCTTCACTATCTCCATTACTCTTGTTCCCCAGAATGCCCCTACCATATTTGTTCTCTCTCTTCTGTGCGAGTTTCCCTTCAGCTATGGAGTCTGTTTGAGTGATTGTGGACTGCTCTTTCCACGAAAGAGAAAAGCAAATTGTAACCTAGAAGTAGAGCTAGGAGGAAGTGCACGCTAGTTGAAAACGTTGTCGTTTGGCATGTTCCGTTTCCTCCGCTGATGGAATATAAGACTGGGTTATTGTCACGTTTATCAACATTAATTCATACATTTTTCTTTAATTCCATAAATCATAATTTATTTCCTAACAATTTAATTAAATAATTTAAACTTAACCCAAAATTGATAAAATTCAAAATTAAACTAATCAAGATTAACTAAAATTAATTTAATAAATAAATTTCATTCAAGATGTTAAATTAACTAAAAATTACCAAAAATATAATTTTTTGTCGAATTTCACTAAAGATCGGGGATTCACCGTGCCGGATCGGAGAGCAGGTGGAGGCTGGTGGCCCGTAGGTCGACTGACAGTGGCAGAGGGAGGGCGCGATGAAGCTTAACAGACCCGTCTGGTGGTCGGAGGCCGCTTGGAGCAGCGGCGGAGCTGCTGGCGCGCTGCCAAGGCGTCAGTGTGGCGCACGAGCTGGAGGAGCTTCGATCGGACAGCGGAAGCTGTGCTGCGCTGCGCGATCGGCCCGAGATGAAAGATCTGGCCGAGGATGAAGAGGAGCTGCTGGCGGAGCTGCTGCGATGTCGAGCTGCAGCAAGGGCGGTGGCGGAGTGGCGGTGACGTGCGACTCTGCTGCTCGCCTCAGCTTGTGTCCCGCCCAGAGCCAGACGCAAGGAGAGGAAGAAGGAAAGAAAAGAAAGAAAAGAAAGAAGGAAGGAGGAGATGAAGGAGAAGGAGGTGGCGTCAGTAGGGTGTCGCTAGTGGACTGGAGGCGCAGAGGGTGTGAGGGTGAGCGTGGAGATAAAAGATGAAATTGTTTCTAGATGGTTTGGGCTGGTTCGATTCCGGTTCGATTCAGCCCAAATCTTGGTTTTCGTTTAATTTTTGATTTGTCAACGGTTCTTGAGTTCGGTTTATCCCTGTACAAATTATGAATTTGTATCTAAATAATTGGACAGATTTCCAGGCTATCGGTTTATTAAATTAAATTGAAAAATCATTGAAAATAAAAATTTGAGTTGTTTCACTACTGCCATCACAATTTAAATTCACCCAATCCTCTTGAGCTTTAACCGAAGCCATACAAAACTGCCTACTAACTCTAGCCGAACCAACAGGAGTAGAAAAATTCATCATATCCAAAGCTACTTTAAAAACACAACGTTTAAAAAACACAACGATTAAAGCAGAAACATCAATAAGTTCATTCTTGAAAAACATTACATACAAGTTCCTCGCTTTTCAAATCCACCAAATGGCAGCTAAAAATAAATGATGTGAGGAGATACCAAAGGCATGTGCAAGGATAAATTTAAACGCAGCCACATCACGATATCATCCACGCCAAAAGAATTAGGAGGCAAACTTCACTGCTGTCCCCATGCCTGCACTCCAACACAATCGCGAAAAAGATACAATAGAGGCTCCTTATCCATAGAACATAAACTACATAGACTAGAAAGAGTCATACCTCTTTGAAACTGTAAAAAATTAGTCGGCAAGCGGCTATGCAAAATCAAAATTAGCCAAAGCAAATGTCTAAATTTAGGCAAACCATCAACAAACCAAATCTATGAGAAAGAAACAAAATCAATACCAACATGCATCTCCTACAATAATAAAGATAAATAGGCTGCTTTAACAGAAAACTCACCATTAAAAGAAAAATTTCACAAGATGGAATCATGAACAAAAGCAATCAAAGGAAGAAGAACTGCATAAATTAAGTACTTAATATCATCAGAAAGACAAATACGTAACACTTAAAGATCCCAAGAACCGTTATGAATAAGATCCTACCCATAGGCAAAAACAGACCCTAAGATGCTCCTTACCCCCAAAAATAGACCCTACCAAATCCCCCTACCAAATCCACCAAAGGACCCATAGGTAACCAAGAATCATACCATAAATTGATTTGTTGACCACCCCCTACCAGCCAAGAAACATGAGACTGAAGCTGCTGGAAACTACGAACAATCTCCTTCCAAGTACAAGAGTCATAACCTCGCAGGATCGAAGGAAAAGAGCAACCATGACAATATTCATGAGTCAAAACCTGAACCTAAAGAGCAGTGTCATGCATAAAAAGATACACACTCTATTAATATATTTTTCAATAGTGATAATAATTTTGAGAATTTAACTAATTATATTAAAATAAGATATTAAGTATTTTTATTTTATGTTTATGATTTATTATAAATAATTATTTATATGTTTAATTTATTTGGAAATATTAATATATTTTATACTATTTAGTATATTTGTGTCCTAAGCTTGTGGATGTCCTATATTTTTAAAAATTAGTATTTTTATTTTATGTTTATGATTTATTATAAATAATTATTTATTTATTTGAAATATTAATATATTATACTTATTTAGTATATTGTGTCCTAAGCTTGTGGATGTCCTATTATTTTAAAAATTATCATATAGCGTACATTTTCGTATCTCGTATCCGTATAACCTAACTTCTGGTATATAAGACTACTCCATACACCAAATTAATCAATCAAAGTTTTTTTATTACCAAGAAAAAATTAAGTATTACCAAGAAAAAATTAAGTGTTTTTTTAAAATTTATTTTTGTGTCTTTTTTTTTTATTAACGAATGATCAGAAAGAATAAGAAGGAATTAGATTTTTTTGGGAAAAAATTTATGTTACTTTTTTTTGTTTTTGAATATAAAAGAAAAATAAAGTTAATAGAGAAAAGAAAATGCTTAGAATAAAGAATTGAGATTAGAAGCCAATTTTTGCAATAATCAATTTTCGTCAAAGCATAATTTAAATTGGAGGAAAAGTTTATTGGATTAAAAAACTTATGAACAAGGAATAAAAACATTAGGCATGTCCAATTCGTTGATAATTGACATTTTCGGAACTAAATTTAAGAAAAAAATAAGAATGAACTAAATTTTATTTCGGAAAAATATGTTACTTATTTTTTTTGGATATAAAAGAAAATTAAATTAATTTTTCCTACAAATTTAGTGTTATAGTTTTTTTATTTTCCTTTTAATTTGAAGAGAAAATTATCGAAATTCTTCTCTTATATTTCTTTCTTATTTCCAAATAAAATAGTTTTTGCTCATTAATATTAATTTAGTTTTATTTTCTTTCTTTTATATGCCTTTATCTGAAAATATAAAACAACTTATCTTTTTGTAAATGCTGTCATTACAACTTGTTTTCTTACAACTATGTTAAATAATTTCTCTCCATACACTTGACAATTTGAGAGAGTTACACTTGCATGTCATTTAAGATAGACTTCTCCACTTTTATATATTATATAGATTTTCTAAAACATTTATGCATTTAACACATATATTTTATTTAGCATATATTTTATTTTTTTAAAAAGTGTATAATATCTAACATTTACATTTATAAATCAAATATAAATTTTTTATAACATAATTATGAAAATAAAAAAATAATAAAACATTTAATATTATCCCTCCAACTTGGATTGCCTTTCTTTCTCCTTCATATGTTTGGCTCCTCATAGTCTATTGATAATCTATATATGCTCTATGTTAAAATCAATGTCACTAGTGGTAGCTGAATTTAAAGAGTGAGCAATTTATTGCGTACAAGCTTCAATAATAATTTAAAAATACTCCAACTTGTGTAATAACAAAATACTTTAATTATTTTTCAGTGTACTACCGTTCTTTTTATATTTCTTTTTGCCTTTTTACATGAATATTATTTTTTAAATTTTATTGTCCCAATTTTGCCACAGCCTTATTATCTTTTCATTTTCTCCTTTTTTTTTAAAGAAGAAAATCTTAAAATAATTATTTTAATTATTTTAATATTTTTAAATATTGCAAGCTTAGTGTGTTAATTTTGTCAAAATAAAAAAGCCTATGTATTATACCATATGGCATTCCGGTGTCCAAATTTAGCAAAATCAACCAAAGATATTTTATTTTTACACAAATACAAGTGGGAGTATTTTTAAATAGCAATGAAGTCTAGAAAGCGCAGAGTGATGAGAGTACTTTTAAATAGAACACCCTTTAAGTTCAGATATCACTAACGAAATTAATACATACCATGTAAGTTGTAGTTCAGGATGATATGAAGTTAACTGAAATCAAAATTTGAAGTAATTAAATAGAATTTATGTATAAATAATTTTCTTAGATTGCGAAAAAATTGTGAAGCAACACGAGAAAAAGAAAATGCAGAATTTTTGTGAAAATGGAAATGGAATGACTAGACATTCATTGCATGCATCTCTTTGTGGTCTCCGCACAGAAAACTATCAAAATGTTTGGATTTGATTTTTTTTTTTTTTTTTTAAATATCATTTTCCTTTTATATATAAAAAAGAAAGGCTAGCAAACTCTTGATGAATCTACTGAACCAATTATAAATAATATTTTAATTCAATCGAATTTAGTTTTTCCTATAAACCGGAAAAAATTAGTAAAAGTAATAATTTGGTATCTATAAATGAACCCCTAGAGCCTCGCGCTAGTGTAAATGTAATGACTTTCCTTTCCAGTGCCTGTGGGTCCTATAGCTCTTAAGTTTCTTCTTCTTTCTTCTTAAAAGAAGAGCCAGAAGAACAAACAAAACAAAAGAGTTCACAGTTCACACCCTAATCTTACAAAAGTTTTCTATTCTATTTCTCATTCCAAGGCTTTCCGCTATATATGTCTTGTCTGCCACAAGATGGAAAAGCTTTAACCCTTCAGTCATGCTTCCTCTTAAGACATATTAGCCGAAATGCTCTCACCTACTTCTTCTTTTTTAGTCTTCATTAATAATTATCAGTCTCTCAATCTTGTGTTTGATGCCTGTCCCCACAATTTGAATTAACGTCTCTATGGGTAATACCCTTTTTTGAGAAATTCAATAGTATGTTCTACTACCATCTTCCATGGAATGTCTAACCTAAACAACAAAGTGAAGGAGATTCAGGTCATTTCCTAAACAAAAGTTCACTCCATAGCAGCTCCTAAAGGAGAAAAGGCAGAGATCAAAAAGCATTAAAAGAATCAAATTCAAGTACAAATTAGACTTATACTAGGCCTCATTATCTCTAATGGATGCTCTTAAAGCCATATTTCTCTCCTTGATCATGTTACAAATATGCAAGATTACTGCCATTAATGTCACTGATGAGGAATGGAAAACTGCTACTGCAACTTACACCAAAGAAAAAGATGGCTCAATCACAATAGGTAACTTTCCTAACCACTGGCCCTTGTAAATGGGCTTCATGTTATATAAACAAGTCTCAGTTTTAATTGGTAGAGCAATAAAAAGGCAAACATTGTATATTTCGGTCCAGTTAAACGGCATTGTTTGGTCTTACAGAAGGAGCTTGTGGGTATGGGGATCTTCATAAAGCCAGTTATGGTAAGTTTAGTGCTGGACTAAGTACCACGTTATTCAACAAAGGGAGTACCTGTGGAGCTTGCTTTGAGGTTAGATGTGTCGACCATATCCTGTGGTGTCTTCAGGGTAGCCCTTCTATCATTCTCACTGCCACAGATTTCTGCCCTCCAAATTACGGGCTTTCATCAGATTATGGTGGCTGGTGCAATTTCCCCAAAGAACATTTCGAGATGTCTGAGGCAGCATTTGCTGAAATTGCAGAAAGAAAAGCTGATATTATTCCAGTCCAATACAGGAGGTATAGGGATACAAATAATGTGCAAAATAACATTCTTTTAGATTTTCCGAAACCATGATTTTCCAAAAGCAATTTTTTTTTTTCAGAAAAAAGAAAGGCAAAAAGAAGATCAAAATGCAATCTTGAAGTGCAGTTCCAAACTCAATCCTAATATTTATGCAAATTTTGAGCAGGATAAAGTGTGAGAGAAAAGGTGGGCTGAGATTCACAGTGAGTGGGAGTTCTCACTTCTATCAAGTCCTCATCACCAATGTAGGCTTAGATGGTGAAGTAGTTGCTGTGAAAGTGAAGGGATCAAAAACAGGGTGGATACCTATGGCAAGAAACTGGGGACAGAATTGGCAATCCAATGTCAACCTTAGTGGACAGCCTCTTTCTTTTGAAGTCACTACTAGCAGCGGAAGAACACTCACATCTTACAATGTTGCACCAGCAAATTGGCAATTTGGTCAGACATTTGAGGGCAAACAATTCTAGCATAAGAGCATCAAAGCTTGATTTGAAATGTGGCAACCAACCTGAAAATGTCAGGCACTGGTGGAGGGTTTAGCAGCAGTAATGCAGTATTGAATATCTCCAGTCATGTTCACACCACCATTAGTTATGTAACTCAAAAATTCTAGCTATGCCATAAAGGCAGTCCTTGGTCAAAAAGGGTGAGAAAGTTATAGAGAAAGGTTGAGAAAAATAAGAAAGCAGGTCCCAGTTTTGTGTCTTTACCCGACATTATTTAGTAAAAGTAAACTGATAGACATGTGTAATTATTAAAACTTTGAAGAATCTATACGCACCCACAGAGAACCAAAAAAAAAAAAAAAAGGAATACAAAAATGCAAACTTACCTTCAGTTTTCCAGGCCATATGAAATTTTCAGTTATGGGACTTCACATTTTATTTCAAAAAGTGAAATGTTGAGATAATAAAGGGAAAAAAAAACTTGGAATGACAACGGGGCATGGTAATACTTCGTCAGGGAATAAGAGGCGTAGATTGGATTGGGATCAGGGTCGGACAAATTGTTATCCCTAAAAAAATTTATCGTTAAACTATCCATTGAATAATTCAATTAAATGTTTTTTTTTTTTTTTTGCAGTGCTGAAGATTTTATTTAAATTCTAATTTCTAAATTATCAACAAATGATAAAAAAATCAAAGAATAAGAAAAATTATTAATAAAAAAAAAAAAGTCACTCACCGTTACTTGCAAGTGAGCCACATAAGCTAGAAGAAATCCTAATGGCACACTAACCACATAATAGCAGCAAATATTGACACAAGCCACAGTATCTTGTCTACCAGCGCCAACAGCAATGCTTGAAAAATAAAATTATAAAATACTTTTACACTTGAAAATGTGCACACCTAACCACATAATAGCAGCAAATATTGACACAAGCCACAGTATCTTGTCTACCAGCGCCAAACAAGCAAACCAATGCTTTGAAAAATAAATTATAAAATACTTTACACTGAAATAAATAAATAAATATATAATATATTATATATATATATATATATGTCTGTATGTATTAATTAAGAAAGTAATTAAAAGGAACGAAATTCATACCTGAAAGTACTGTCTGGACACTTGTTTAGCAGAACAGATATATGTCTGTATGTATGATTAAGAAAGTAATTAAAGAACGAAATTCATACCTGAAAGTACTGTCTGGACACTGTTTAGCAGAACAGAGAAAGCAAGAACAACATGAGGCTTGAAACAGTTTCTGAAACTTCCTCTTCATTACTAAATAAGCAAGCAATTTGATGGCCAAACACCAAACACAGAATCCAAAAGAATATTACAATGGACATTGAAGTGCTCAATGTGACTTTCATGGAAAATTTTGCAGCTTTAGCATTTCCTCTTCCCAAGTCATTTGCAACCCTCACACTGTAGACAAGAAAAATCTCTCTCTCGTGTTATATTATTATGTTCTTTTTTTTTTTCAGGTTAAATGTAAATAAAAAAACAATTACTTAAGTTAGATCATTAATTAAGGTCTCTAAAGCTTGTTTTCCCTTATTGCTGCCAAGAAGCCAACACATAAGCTTCATTTCTGAAAAAAAGGAATACATACAGCAAACATGTTTTTGTGCCTATATTTATATCTTGAATTGGTACATATTTATTGAAGACGCTGTTCCCTGATGCTTTTTGTTATTCTGGAAAGTATATGGTAAAGCTAGTGGATAAATTAAGTTTGTGATTTCAACCATCTCACATGCTTGATCAATAATCTAGCAAACTCTACACTCTCAAAAGTAGACAGATTATTGAATACACAAGGCTACTTATCCAACGAGGAATAAGTGCCAATCACATGTAATGAACCATCTTCAAATCACGGTGTAAACGTAATTGATTATCACATTTTTTCAAAAGAACAAAAACATACAAGTCACTCTTCTTACCTGCAAATTAAAAGATTAAAAATCTAAAACCAACCTTAACAGGGAAAATTAGAAGCTTATAGTCACTATAAACAATGATGGCATAAAAGAATAAATGTGGCAATGATTCTTACGAGTCATTTACATGCTTACAACGAAGCAAGGGCTTACAGCATTTAAAAGCCATAAGGTTGTTGTGTAAAACACCACCAACATGAACAGGTATTGCAATAAGCAATCCCACTGACTCTCTTAAATCCCACTAGCTCAGGGGGGGTTCAACGACACTCCATGAGATACATTAAAAGTTGTTACACGTGAAGGAATGTAGAGGTGACTTTTTATCCATCATCAAGGATGGAACAATAAATTAATTCAATTAGCCATTTAATCTCCATCTCACTGTCATCTCATCCTCAGCCTCATCCTCCAATAAAAATTCCAAAGATTCACCATAATATTTTTGGGCATCCTGCCTTAAAATAGCTGAAGCACTAGATTCACCAATTGATTCTAAACCATTGATGAGCGTTCTGAAGGTAGACCTATCAGGTTCATATCCAACGGCTTTCATGAAATCATAGCATTCCATTGCCAGTCTAGTGAGGTTAAAACTTACCAACGTTGTCAAAAGAGCACCAAATGCCTCAGTTTCAACCACCAAATTATTTTCTGATTTCAAGTATGCGCAAAGAAGTTGAACCTGCTCCAAATGCCCATTACTAGCCATTACTTTAATCATATCATTATACAAAGAGGGCTGGGGCTTATACCAGTACTCTTTCCGAATATCTTCAAAAACCTGTGCCAGGCAATATCAAGCAACAGCAATTGCGCCGCAGGAGAGGCACAAGGAGAAAATGGTTAAAGAGTATCCAAATGCAGAAGACAATATATACACAATACAGTACCTTACTGATAATAATTCCATGGTCATTCATGATTTTAACAAGTTGAAAAATATGCCACTTCAAGTGGCAAAACCAAACCAGTACAGAAATGGCAGGATATATAAATAATAACTAAAACTGAAAATTCTTCAAATAAAGATCCTGTTCATGCAGTTTTTACCTTTGATTTGAGAAATAGCAAAACTAGCATCTAACAAACCAATACCCTAGAAATCAAATTTTATACCATTGATTTGAAATCAAATATAAGATCGTTAATCCCTAGACTTGATAGATTATAATATATAACTATCGAATTAGAGATTAATCATAAATTAAAAGAATATAAGGATTAAGTTTAGTCGAAAACCTGGAGAGCCAAAAGGCAATGATTCTGGCGGAGGAGTTCACGGAGAACCGCTAACATATCAAGCTTCAACAATCGACTGAATTTGGAACGGAAAACATGACGCAAGGAGTCGCCGTCGTTGGTGCTGCTATTTTTGTTGTTGTTGTTGTTGTCGTTGTAATAGGCTCTTTTCAAGGCTTGCACAGATTGAATAGCTTCGATACTGACATTCCTCCCTTTCTGCAAAGGCTTGTCTTGTCTGCCTCTAGCATTCACTGTCAGTATCAGTCTTCCTTCTAATTCAAATGATTTAGGTTTTGATTTTGATAAAAATTTAGGGAATGGAATGGCTGTTTTTACTGATGAATTCACCAGAGGGGGTGATATCATCTTCTTCTTGCTCTTGCTTCTGTATTTTTGGATTAGCCTTTTCAGCGTCTCAAGCTTTGGATATTTTTTTTCCTGTTGAAGGTTTTTTAAAGTTACAAATTGATATTTATACACCATAAAGTGTGAACTCGCCAATTTCAGCTCCCTCCAGTGAAATTAACCCCTGCTATTTGAAAAAGGTTAAACCTGCAAAATTATCCCGTTTTCAAATATAATTAGTGTTAGAATGTACACGATACGCAGAATAATATTAAATAATAAGATAATTTTTTATAATATCATTTAAAAATAATAAAATTGAATAATAAAATAATTGTGAAATGAATTATAAAATTGTGTATCATTGAGATATATTGAAAAAGTTGCAATATTAATATGTGCTTTCTTAAATATCCAGTAAAACCTTTCAGCAAGGTATACAATAGTAAAAATTATACATAGTATGATATGCATTAGAAAATATACACATACTATTCTTGCAAATGATAGCAAGACTTATAACAGTGTCATTTTTCATTCTTATTTTCGTCTCATCTTAATAGATAATTTTTATAAAAATTTGACAACATACTTTACAAAGAGAAAGTTCTATTTTTAATAATATATATACATCTCTCTCTCTCTCTCTCTCTCTCTCTCTCTCTCTCTCTAAAATTTTGGACAAACCATACTTTACAAAGAGGAAAAGTTCTATTTTGTTTAATATATATATTTTTTACATCTCTCTCTCTCTCTCTCTCTCTCTCTCCTCTCTCTCTAATATATATATATATAGTATATATATATTATTTAATATCTATTTTTTAATATCATATATATTTAATATCTATTTTTTAATATCCATGTTGAGGAATGAAAATACACATTGATATACACAACTAATAAATTACTTGCATGAACTTTTTTTTTTCATTTTTCATTTATTTTTCTAACATTTGTAATTTTATAATCCAAAATATTGCCAATTGACAAATTGTGCTACTTACATTTGGCTTTTATATAAGGCAAGTTACTCTCATTTTATTTTATTTTTTTCATTTTCTATTTATTCTTCTAACATCTATCATTCTATAATCCAAAATATTGCCAAGTAGCAAATTACACTTGGCTTCCATATGAGACAAATTACTCTCGTTTTATATATTATATAGATATACTAACTGCATGCTTGTGCTATGCACAATTTAATATTTCACTTTTTATTAAAATTAGTTTTAAATATTTATATAATTTATTTGTAAATAAATAATTTTACAACTTATAATATTTAAATTTAGGCCTAATGACTAAAAGAAATCTGAACTTTAACCTTTTTAATAATTTTGGCCTATTCTTTTAATTGCTACGATTGACACCACGAAGTAATTTTTTCTTAACAATTGTGACTTCCGTCTGTTAACTACTATGATGATGTGGCTTTTAGTGGGACCCTGATTATGACATGTCACTTGCTGACTGTAAATTTATAAGATATAATTGTTAAAAGAATTTGCCAAAATTGTTAAAAAGACCAAAATTCAGGATTTTTTTAAGTCAATTTCAAAAAAAAAAAAAACGAGTTTTTTTAGTCATTCGAAATTGTCAACACTCATGTAATAATTAAATCTTAAAGAAAATCTAAAAATTCAATTAAAATATCAACATAGTAAGAGAGGAAAACACAAATGTTGTATAATTAATCAATTTTAAATCCGATTTAATTCCAAAAGTAATAGTATTATTTGTAGGAACCTCTTCAACAACATTATTGCTTTACTCATACTTGTTCTTTTCTTTAGAATGATCAATATAAAATACCTTTACACTAATATTTCTTGAAAAATTTATATATGAATGTAAATTTTTATCAATCTTTCGTTATTGAAATTTATTATATTCTAATTGTAAAGTTTAGCACCTTTCAAATTTTCAAGTTATAATCTCCTTTTCAATTTTTTTTCCTTTATTTTGTGTCATATAATTATTATTTTCAATTAATTATCATTAAAATGAAATAACTTTTTTTTGCGTGACATTGATTGTTTCTCATTAGTTATTAAAATATATCATTTAAAATAAAAAATTTATAATTAAAATTTATAAAATATTTAACTTAGTTATTTAAACTATTTTTATATCTCATTTTAAAAATAAAAATTTATAATTAAAATTTTATAAAATATTAACTTATTTATTAAATTTAAATTTGAATATTACAAGTTATAAATAATTATTGATATTATATATATATATATACTATATATATATATATATTATATATTATATTATACTATATTTAGAAATTAATCTTTAATATAAAAAAAATCTTGAATATATTAGAAATTAATTTTAATAAAAAAACTTGAATCTATTAATAAATTGTACATGCACTTACCGCTAGACTATGACTTGATGTGCATGTAATAATCTTAACTAAAATTGGTAAACTAACAAAGTTTAGCTTAAAGACTTAAAAAAACCCTAAACTTTGGCATTTTTAATAATTTTAGCTAATTCTTTTAACAATTATACCTTGTAAATTTAAGGTCAATAAGTGACATGTCATGACGAATGTCCTGTTAATAGCCTCATCGGCACAGTAGTAACAGTTGATGGACAGAGGACACAATTATTAAAAAAAAAATTACTTCGCGATATCAATTGTAGCAATTAAAAGCAATTAAAAGAATTAACCAAAATTGTTAAAAAGAACAAAATTTATATTTTTTTAGTCATTAGGCCTTAGATTTATTTAATAAATATATTTAGATATTTTGTAAATTTTAGTTATGATATTGAACCATTTTTTATCTATAAATGATACTTTTTTTTCTTGCTATAAAATTGTTTTCCTATGAAATTATATAAATAATTATAAAAAATGAAAAACAGTTGAATCAAGTTTACTTTTAGTCGAATCGCAATCCAATCATCAAATTGGTAAGAGAAGTAAATGAAAGTGGAACCTAATTTTATTTACACATCAGCAATTAAAAAAAAAAAAAAAAAAAAACTTCAGTTAGTCAAATTTCAACCCATCTTCTATCAACGAGCATAAGGAAAGAAACTCAGAGCATGTATGTTAATCAAAGTCCAAAGCTCACATTTCTTTTATTAATAATTATTCTTGTAGTTTCTTTTCAAAAAAAAAAAAAAAAAAAAAAAAAATCAATTTTCAAGTTTTCGGCCAATGTCCACCAAACTGCCAAGCGAAAAAAAAAAAAAAAAAAAAAAAAAAAATCAATTTTCAAGTTTTTGCAATGTCCACAAACTGCCAAGCGAAGAACATGGGAAAGCAAAAAACTTTTGTTCCCACTTTTCGTGGCATTTCTCTGCTAAAGTTTGTAAAGGATCGAGCAAAGCTTACAGACTCATCAAACAATTTTTAAAGGACCAAAGCCACTTCATAACTGATGATTCTTCAGCAATATCTCAGTGAAAATAAAGATGTGTAATTGAAAACAGAGATTTCTGGAATGCTCTGTTTTTCTTTAATTTTTCTGGGAATGCTCTGTTTCATTAATTGCAAACAAAAAATTAGATTGAATTGATCCACAAACTGGAAAAACCCTTCTCCCAGCGATAACAGAAATGGAGCCCCAGAACCTGAAAACAAAATGCATATGCAAATATAAACAGAAAGAAAGAGACTCAGATCTAGTACAAACATTCATTTTGGTTGGTGTCGTTGAACTCCAAAAGCCCTATCAATCATGTCATCAAAGCTGTCCTCTCTCGATCTCGAATGCATCGCTTTCGATTCTGCTGTTGCATTCATCTCCATCGCTGAGTCCGACTCCGTGATGGATGGAGTTTGGTGGCGACCCACGAAAGGGTTATCAGTTAGAGAGAGAAAGCTTTGTCGAGGATAAGAAAACAACAAAACCATCGCCATTTTTTTTCTTTTAAAATTGCCTATGTGTAAGTGAGATGGGTTCCATTTTTATTTAATTATCCTACTCAGCTTTTTTATAATATACGCGCGGTTATTAGTGTGGAAAAACGTGAATAGGTGTTTTATTGGTGTAAAATTTTTAAATTCATGTGCATAACTGGTGCTCATAAAGTAGAGGATGTCCTAAGATTAAATTGCGAAAGTTCAACGGGCAAACTATGTATTTGGCCTAAATTTTTTTGACGCAAATCTATTGGGAATAATAACATCCAACTTCAAATTTGAATTATTCAAATGTTTTTAATTTTTGAATGTTATTCTAGTTTCCCAAAAATTTAAAAAAAAATGATTATGATAGTTGTCAAATTTTCTTGTTATGATTGATTTGTTATTTTTTCTTTCTAAATATGCTTGTTCGAATTCAAACAAAATCGAGTAGCCACTATGTTCTCTCCTTCCTCTTTGCTTGTTTCTTCTTTAGTTTTTTGTTGTGCATTTTAACCTTTAAACTCTTTCAATATTTTAAACCCTTTTCACCCTTTAAATTATTATTCTTAAAAGACTTTGAGTAAGAAATCAAAACCATTTCAAAATAAATAACTTTCTTTTAAATCTTATTTTGTTAAAAATGATGAGGACAAAATCTTTCTTTAAATACTCCTCAAATCTTTGTTGGTGAAAACTATCTAAGTTTGTCAGTGAAATATAATCATATCTTCAAGCATATGATCTTTGGGAAGTTGTTCCTAAAGAGATGCCAGTAGCACCTCTTCCTAACAATCCTACTCTTGCTCAAATTAAAGCCCACACAAATGAGAAAACCAAAAGATACAAAGCCAAAACCCTTATCCAAAATTGTGTTGCAATCAATTTTTTTCCAAAAATCATGACGTGCTAAATAGCAAAGCAATCTTGGGATAAGCTTAAAGTGGAGTATCAAGGAGTGATAGAATTAGACATATCCAAATTTTAAACAGATTCTTATCCATGTAGGACAATGAAACTATTACTTAGTATTCTGACATAATTTTTTCTTTTGTTAACAATATTAGATTTCTTGGTGGAGATTTTCTCGATAGTAGAATTGTTGAAAAAGTTCTTATGACACTTCCAGAGAGATTTGAATATAATATCTCTTCTCTAAAATAATATAAAGATCTCATTTTGATTTCTCACGCAGAATGAATTGTTGCGTGTTGTTGAAGCTTAAGAATAAAAAAGAGCTTTGAGAGATAAAGTCCATGTTG